GTGTTCGGTTTTCAAAAAACCGAGCTCACCGCCGAAGGTGAAAAACGAATGGGAGGCACTACGAAAGACCCGCCATTGACTTTGACCGTCGTTCGCCAGTCGTCAGTTTCAACTGGAGCGGCGGGCAGTAAGCAGAAATCGGCTAAAAGGACGCATTGGCAGGACATTTCGCAAGAAGGCGAATCAGAGCAGTTCAGAGAGGAAAAAAGCGAGAAATAGCCTGTGCTAATTTCGACTGGGTAGCATACTTTTTGGCGCGCTACTGCTTTAATCCTGCAGTCTAAGTGAATGTGAAATGTGACAAGCCAAGTGACAGTTAGCAAAAGCCAAAATAAAATGGAGATTGCAGATTGGAGAAAGGCGGCAGGAGAAAGGAGAAAGCAACCAAAACAGATGGAAACAACAACTTGCAGATGCTGAGACGTTCGAGGCCCCAGGAGACATTTAACATAATAAAAACGAACGTGTGCGGCATTTTTGTGTTGCCTTTTGGCCAAGTTAACTCCTGTTTGTGTGTGGGTTTGTTTAATGCTAATATCAGACCCACACACACACAGAAACATACAAACAAACAATATTGCAAATGTGTGTGTGCGTCAGGCAGTTGGCAAAAGTGTCGTAAATCGTTTAGACAGAGCAACGTGGCCCAGAAAAAAGGAGGAGAAGAGGGCCAAAAACGATATGTAAACGACACAGTAGTAGTCGCCGTGGGAAAAACTGGGAAAATACCCAAACAAAACGCCAAGAAGATGGAAGATCTGCCGATGAAGTGCATTTGTTGCTCATGTGAGTATCCCACCACCAAAAAATTATATCTTTTTTTGCTGTTACTTTTGCGCCCCCTTTTTATTTTATTTATTTTTATGCGGTTTTAATGTGAAAAAATTGCGAAGGTGTCGGAGTTGTGGGCGTGGAGTAATAAATTTTTATGTGTGATTTCTTTTGTGAGAGAGTGCGTTTGCTAATAATGCCACCAAAATAAAGGGGCCACGGTATGGTCCATAAAATGCCTACAAGACTATAAATGCAATTAGAGAGCGATAAACATAAAAATCAAACAGATTAATTTGTCAGAGTGCTAAGTACACGTTATAATGCCACAGAAATCCCTAATGTTGTAAAAAAATCACTTCTAAAGGTGTCTAAAAGTATGCAATGCTATATTTTGTTTCAATAAGTGAAAAATATTCGGTTTCAAAACAACGTCCTTTTTCCTTAGCATACTTTTAGACACTTTTTTGAAAAATCTTAATGATTTATAATTCTTCCGCAATTTTTTCATCGTATAAGACACAACGAATCGAATTTCTCTATAGAAACAGCTATTACACATATAAAGTGAAATTATGTTTATTTTTACATGCAAATTTGCTTGTGAAGCTTGACTTACAAAAATGTCAAAACAACAAAAAAAAGAAATTCAATTGTTTTAGGGCCAACTTTTGTTTGCCTTCACTATTGACAAACGTTTACCATTTATTAGGATTAAGAACTAAGCCAGTTCAATTGGCATATTCATACATATTTGCATGGGAAATATTCAGCAAAAAGTAAAATCAAATTCCAGATGAAAATGTTCGATATCAAATTCATTTGCATAAATGTTCAGAAAAAGCTAGAACAAACAAAAAATTGACAATTGCATTTGTATCCCATTAAAGACCTAAAAAGTTTGAAATGCAAATGGAAAAAATGTCTCCGATATCAATTGCAAACAAAATTAGGCAAATGGAAAAGCAAACAGCATTAGCTTTGTCAGAAATTCAACACAGAAATCACGAAAAAATTTAGGGAAATGTAAAAATGACACTTTTCTATACTTTGCAATTAAAAACCACAGTTTTTTTTTCAACAGTCTCCTTAAACAAAAAAAAATTTCTTGCTCTCATTTTCAGAAGCAAGAATAACAAGGCTAAAAAAGTTGTGACAAAGATACTTTTAACAATGATGACTGATTGACGTCTCTGTTTACTTATAAATGCTGCATAAAAAGTAAGTATGTTTTAACTTATTTTAAAATTTGTATAAGGTATAAAAAAGTATTAGATAATCAAGATTTTTTATTTTATTACAAAAAAAAAATTGAATAAAATATTGTTTACCCCGTTAGTGTTTCTAAAAAGTGTTTTTCATGTGCTTAGATATTGTAGAGAAATTTTTTTTTTGCCGCCTCTTGGCTTTTATAAAATGTTTTCATTTTAAAATGGAAAACAGTTTACAAATACTCTGCAGAACTAACACTTATATCTTTAGAGAGCTTCTCCTTAGGCAAACTTTTAGTATTTGATTGCAAATTAGAAGAGATATTTTTATGAAAAACGGTACAATGAAAATGGGTTTACTAAAATTCTAGGCCTAACAGTTTTAATTAGGCGTTATATGGATTTTTTTTAATAATGTTAGTGATTTCTTAAAAATTCACGCTGTAAATTCCTGTTTACTTTTGTTTAAACCCCAAAGGTGTTTTCACTTTGTATATAATAGCCTGATTTAAAGTGTTTTTCAATTATGTATGACATAGTGAAAGCTGAACACTAAAAACGCATCCCAGATAATCCCTTCTGGCAGCCAAAGCCTTGAGTTCTCCACTTCGCCGAACATAATCTTCAACAATCTGTCACAAAGTGTGTGTGAGCCAAATTGTTCGCTGATATATCGTAAAAAAAAGTGACAAAGCGCACAAAATAGAGGGGAATGTTGCGTAGTCAACGCAACAAGCAAATGCACTCAAAAAGTGGAATCTATAAAAATTCCAAGACAAGAGGACGTGTCCATTGATGAAATATGCGCCAAACAAAGAAAACTTTTGCAAACATTTTTTGTTTACGATCAAAGAGTAAAGTAGCGATAAGTATTCATAAAAAAAAGGAGCAAGAGAGTTCGGTTTAGTTGAGGAGGGAGAAAGGACACACTGTGCAGCAGGCACGTACATATCTGCTTGCTACTTGCCATTGCATACTTTTACGCGTCTCTTTAGTATTAATTTGCAAAGGTAACCCGCATCCCAGGTATCCAAAGGATCGTGGGTCTCATTATGCATGCTTGTCCGCACGTAACCCTGCATTTCTTCAATACCCCCCGGGTATCTTCTCAGCAAAAAAAAAAAAAGAACAGATGCCCACACACCGAAGAGTTTTCGGTTCTGTTTCTGCTAACTTTTACCAATTTCATTTTCAATTGACTGTCGACCAGAACACGCAGACGGGCTCGGCTAACCACCAGCAATTGAGCGTATGAAACGCCAGAAAGGAACTGGGCCCTCACAAAAAGTTTCTACCAGGCCAGGACACCAGAAACACCCGTAGACACACACACACAAACACATACACCCACAAAAGACAGAAGGACACACGACCACGCACAAAGAGATATCAGCAGAGATACAAAGCTTCCTTCCCCTTTCTTTTTTTTTTCTTTTTCCTCAAGAATCCTTTTCTTTCATTTCAATTTCGATGCCAGCAAAGTTGCCTTCTGTATTATACTACTTATTTTATTTCAAGCGGAAGGAACGTGTGTGCCTTGTGCAAACCATACCAATTCCATCCTTATCCCTTAGAAAGTTTTCTGCGAAATTACGCCACGCACAATTCATTTGCAAATAGGAACAGTTTAATTTGTTACTTTTGTGTGTGTCTGTCTGTGTTTGTGTGTGTGTGTGGTCTATGACAAGGATATTCCTGACCGGTTTACAAAGTTTTTGAAAGGACCCGCATGAGATGGAGACAACACTGGCACACAAAAGCCTTCTTTATGGAGAATATTGCATTAAACGAGCCGGCCCACAATCAAATCAGTTCGATTGGGGCACTGGGTTCGGGTTCTTCCCCTTTCTGCTTACCAAACGAAGTAATTAAGCCGGGATACATCGTCCATTTCTGAACAGATCCAAATCACTCTAGTTCACTCCCCTCCCCAACCGTCAATTCCTGGGTACTTTGAGTGAAAGGCAAATATTCTTGGGCAACTGTTTACTGCATTCATTCCATAGTTGTCAGAAGTCTAGACACTTGAAAAGCTTTCTCAAGCTTGCCTTGGCACGTATGCCAATTGATAATCGCAAAAAAAAAAAAGGAAGGGATAGCAAAAAATAAACTCCTTGGGAAGAGCTCAGGGTGTGCTAAGTTGTTGACCGGATTTGACAAGCCCTGACAAATGAGCAAGAGATGAAAATGTGATAGCCAAGGGGAAGACTTTTGCATGACCAGTATGGGAAAATGCGAATGTTTTTTCAGTACTTGGTTATTGAAGGGGTTATGGATTACTGCCGTAACGACCTAAACAAATAAATGTAAATGTATTAAAGATGTATTAAGTAGCATTCTAAAGTCCTTTTTATTAAAGTTTTGTTCCCAAATGTAATAAAAATGTATTAAGAAGCTTTCTAATGACCTTTTTTAACATTTGTTCCTAAATATTTTAATGATTTTAACTTTTAGTTATGGGAAGAAGTCAAATAGTCAAAGATAAACGTATTTTTTAAACAGAAATATGTACACAAAACAGAAATATTATCGTCAATTCTAGGAAATGAGGTTTATGTGCTGAGAGAAAAGTGTTATGATTTGATCGAGAAAAGAACCGATTAATTTAAGTTGGCAGACTTATCGTCAGGTAGCTTTCTTAACTTTTAAATCCAGCTTAATAGGGTTTTTTGATTGATTTATTCATTTGTTACCCAGATGACAAAAAATATATTTTGAAGTTCCCCTTTTGTTCAGTATTAATTTTTGCCATTTTCATTAATAATATTTCAATTCATATTTTTGCATAGTTAGTTATAATATATTTAATTATAAGGAACATTAACAGCTCATATAAATTTATTTTGAAATAAGTATTTCAAAAGTAAGCTTCCTGAAAATGTTCATATACTTAGATTGTTTTATATATTTAAATAACTGCATATCTCTCATGTTTGTAAATGATGTTCATATATTCTTAAGAAGAGTTCTTTAAATATTAGTAACAGATTAGGAGAAATTAAAAAAAAAAATACTCACGTTTTGAAACATAACTTCAATTTTGTTGCCCATTCAGCTCTTCAGCACTTTTCAGTTTATTTGCATCACCTATAAATAAAAGATATAAAAATGTATATTTTATTAAGTGTAAATAAACATTTGGTATAATTTTATAAATGTTTTTATTCTCTCTTTATTGCAGATACCTACAAAATGATGATGATGTGTGGCCCATCAATGATGTGATAAATATAAATATTGCCATAAATAAGCCAATTTTGTTGAAGAAAGAAAATAAAATATACAGTCTATAAAAAATATACTGCTCAATTGTATTTATTAGTAAAAGGGGGAAGGACCTTAGCTAAGGTGTGCAACGTTTAGGGGTCACAAAATGATTGGTATTATACGCTCTTATTATTATGATTATTATTGTTATCAAAGCCAATGTCAAGCCACCGCAAAAAAAAAGGACAATAGTCAAGGTGCTCAGCAGGACAAAATCAAAAAGCCAAGAACATTGTGAGGCGGCTGAAAATGGAATGGTAAATATGAAGGAGAACGTGCCCGGCATAAGGAGCCCCCATACAATTCATGTTGGTCTCAAAAATTTATGTATTGTTTGTTTATTTGCTTATGCAGTGCTTTTCTCCTGCTCAAGGACCTCACACATACTTCACACACAGTGTTACTTTCTTCCAGGCAGTTTCTCATGCAAATTTATACACCTTTGCAGGCTGCCATAATAAATATTGCCGAAAAATATATCTCGTTTCAGCGCCTTTTGTCTACTTTACGCTCTGTCTGCTCCTTTAGATCCTTTAGCTCCGCCCTGTTGTCGCCTTGTCACGTGTCGGCATCATTACCACACGTACCAGAATTATTTATATAAGAAATATACATCGTTTATAAGCCCAGCAATTGCTAACACCTAAACTGTAGGCTAGACCAAACGAATTTCGAATGCCCTTTGATACACACACAGAAGTTCTGTGTCAGAACGATAGGGTCCCCCAAATGTGATAGATTAAGGGGCATTTAAAGAACTCCCTGGCGTAAAGTATAGGGGGCAGAAAAATTTAAATCACCAGTAAATGTTTGCCCTGAGCAGAGCTAATTGTTCAATATTTGTGGCCAAGAGCAGCTGGCACTTTGAGCCTCTTGGGGAAATGTGTGGGTGAATTTACGACACATATTCCCGCCTAAAACTGGGAAACAAAACATGCCAAGCATGTCGAGCCCAATCGCCCTGAAAACAGTATCCTCCGTTCCACTTGCCGCCCCCCCCCCCCCCCCCCCCCCCCCACACACTCCCCTACTATATAAACCCCATAAACCCCATCCATATGTCCGCTTCCCCATAAGCGTCACAGTTAATTTGTTGACAGCTTTGTTGGAAAAGCGGGCTGGGAGCCAAGAAGGAAACGGAAACGTTGGGTGGTATAATATGGCTGCAGGACACATTGCTGGACAACTGGACAGCCAGACAAATGTCGTTCTCCGCTGGGACTACAAGACATGGAGCCATGTAAAGTGTGCAAATGACCAAAGAGAAAAGCCCAAGAAATATCAGGGCACAAAATTCTAATTAGTGGGGTGGGCAAAAGACGGACTATGTTCGACATTCCATATAGATTTGTGGGCGGCAGATAGACAGAGCGATAAACCCGATAGGAAATGCAAAAATTTTAAAGGCAGCAAACAGGCACTGGCAGAAAAAATACCTAAAGAAATATACCCCATATAAAAAAGAAACATTTAAATACAAGTAGATTTGACACTTTATATGCTAAACTGTATTTTTGAACCTATCTTTGCGTTTGTATAGTAAAGGAAAATTAACAACTAAAAATCCTTACTTAAAATGCCAAAATTTCTATTATTATTACTCTTTTTATCATTATTTTTAGCCTAAAAAAAAGAATTATTCAAAATGAGGACATCCCCTCTTCTAAAAACAATAATTTGGGACCGTATATCTACAAAATAAAATACAATGTAGTTTTCATTTCCATTATTATTTGATTTGATTATCAATTTCTATGCTGCGGAAACCTGATTTATTTTTACTTTATGGCTGTAAATACAATTTGTGGAGTTTCATTTTCAATTGTTGTTTCGTATAAGAAGGTCTAGTCAGTCAGTTCCGTTTACCGAAATGTCAAATGCCAACATCAACGTCGCCATCGTCAACTAATTGGGCTTTCGGCTCTTTCCACGAAAACAAAAAATATTGGCGTACATTTTATTGGTAGAGAGAGTACAAGAGTACAAGGAAGTGAAAATGCCAGGAGGTGAAGATACCAAAAAGGAACGTGAAAAAAAGATTAAATTTCCTCGTTACGAGTTTCATCTGAGATGAAAATAAGAAACCGAAAATTGCGACAAAAATGAAAATAAATATTGAATTATTGATATACAATACCTCAAACGAGTATTGAGTGCCACGAAACGAAGTGACAAGTGTTTTTTTTTTGGGGGGGGGAGGTGGTTTGTAAATAAAAATGACAAAAATTCATTTATATTATATATAAATGTGTTCTTATTTAGAATTCAGTTGACAATTTTTGTTTGCAAACAAGGTGTGATGTATTAAAAATGTGAAACTTTTGACTTTGAGTGCCTTAGGCTCATTTGATTTTTTATTTGATGTTTTTTGTTGTACAATACAAATCAAACTAGTTTGAAATGTTATTATTAAACTTGTGAAATTACCTTAAGAGCTCACATTTTTCTGGTATCCTTAACTCGTGATACATTTCTTATATAAAACCGTAATTCTTCTGTGAAAAAGGGTATACCCAATCAAGTATTACACAAAATTGGATTTTAAAAAATGTATTTAAGATATTATCTGGGGACCAGTTTTTACTTTCCTTGCCATTTCAATAGAGTATATTTTTTAAAACGTTTGTTAATCTCTTGAAATTCCAGAGAAATCATATTCTGGAGGGCGTAGTACATTTTCCACTCTTCCCTCAGCTTATTGTCAACGCAAATATTTGTTTATTTATTTATTTTGTTTTTTTTTTTTTTAAGGCACAAGCAAGTCCAACGTTTGCAGCCCTCCATCACGGCTCAGCATGGGCCCAGGCTTATTTATTTTTACGATGAGTGCGCTTTTTCTACCTTTTCGTGTTCTTCTTTTTTTTTACATTTTTTGGTGGGTCCCGCAACAATATTTTGCATGTTTGCATACAAAATATCATATTTGCAGAGATTGTTTCATTAAAAAAAAGCAGGTGCCGCTGCTGTGCACATATTTCATCTGCCTACTTTCACTCGCTGAAGGCTGCCTATCCTGTGTAGTACGTGTTTAGCTTTAGCACCTTCTCGTCCCCAACCGCCTACACATGCGTGAGCCATAAAATGGTCATATTACCAAAATAGCAGTAAGTGCTACGCCAAGGAAATTGGTTTCCCCACGCACCAAATATTGTCGGTAGTATGGATATGTATATGTATATGATAGGGTAGTCAAAAGGGAAATGTGCTCCTAGTTTTGTATGCTGAACAGGTGGACTTCACTGGTAAACTCGTAAAAGTTTCACCGATTTCTGTTGTATATTACTGTGGCTCAATGCATTGGAAAGGCATAAAGCCCAAGGGTATGCCAGCGTTTAAGCCATAAAATAACTGAAAGAAATGTATGGTACCGGGGATTATGATAAAAAAAAAAAAAAAAGTATCAAGGAAAGTACTACAAAGGCTAATCCCAACTAATCATATAAAATAATCACTTATGAAATCTATGGTTAGCTAGTATGTTCAGTATATAAGAAAAATTAATCAAATATACTATGATTTTCGATTTGATAAATTCATGTAGTTTGTTATTTGTCATAATTTTTGTGAACCATAGGTTGAAAAAGCATTTTACCCTATTCAAATTGACTTTTTCCTTAAGGACTACCATCTTCTGTTCCATCTAAACATAAGTTAAAACACTTCCGCTTCCCCGGCACTTACTCTTCCCTTCACTTAAGATGTCAACAGCTAACCACTCGCAGCTGAACCCAGGGAACTCACAATGTTAGTCAATTATTTCGTTGACAGTAAGCACATAAAAATACAAATAGATGACACCCAACGACTACGAAGCGTAGAAAAGGTAGCAAAAAAAAAAAAGAAGAAGGAAAAAAGGACTTGTAATGGGTTTGAGGCATTTGAAGCCATGTCCTAGTTCCACTGGCAGAGACAGACAGCGATTTGTCGGTACCTTTTCTCTAATCTATATTTCAATGTTCACTTGGTGCTTTCTCTCTATGCCTATGAAATGCTATGAAATGGTACGAAATGGGGGACAAAGGACGCACGCCTTTATCGGAGATTAAGTGCGATGACATCGTTATACTCATAGACATAGTCATAGTCCCAGTCTTCGTTAGTTATATTGTGTTGAAATGTGCTTACAGGACATTAATTTCTTGCACCTGGCATTAAGATAATTGTTGCCTTTTGTTTAGCGATGGCTACGAGAGATAATCAAGTCGTAATTTGGCAATGTGTTGCCGGGCCTCTTGATAACATAGTACAATGTGCTTTTGGGATTGCCGGACAGTTAAAAGGGACTGGACTACAGGACGAAGTAGGAAATCAATCACATCCCTGGAAGCTACAAGGATATTAAGTTAGCAACAGTGGAAAGAGCTATAGTTTTGTGTAAACTTTAAACTTTAACTGATATTTTAATAAATACTGATAAATTTCTTTTATTAGTTGATGATAAATTAGAAATTCTTGTTTAAGCACTGAAAATCATTTAAAATATTATTAAACACCTTTCTTTATTATTGTCTAATCATAAATCATCTAGTATTAAAAATCCCAAACACTTCATTATCATTTTTACAGGTAATTCCCTTTGTTAAGAGCGGTGGCAAAATTTGTTATCCATTTCAAAGAATCATCCAAGCCAACCCAAAATTAATAATAAAAAATCATTACAACGCTTATAGCTTGGCAAATGTAATACGACAAAATCAGCTTTTAATGGGATGGAATTTGAGAGGAGGCTGTCAATCGCTTTGAACTTTGAAAGGTCACACACATGGAGTGGAGTGAAAGCAATTTGATGTAATTTAATAACAAAATAATAGGAAGCAATG